TTTTTTAAATTTTTTGGTATAGTAGTGCTTTCAGTAAAAGCCCCATAACTCCATCAAAATAAAAGCTTTTTCGGTCGGGTTTGCTTTGTTTTGATCAGAAATGATTGCTCGTCTCTGGATTGAGCACATTGTTGGAAACACGGAAGTTGTCAACTTTTGATGTATTTTTGTTACCTCGTTCTGGAGCACACCATCTGCTCTAAAAAGTTCTTTTACAGATCATGAGAAAGAGCACATTTAAAAGTACCAAACATAAACTGAGTTCTCACTTTTGCTACACTTTTTAGCGGAAATAGAATAGCAGAAGAAAAAGTACAAGTCGAAAAAAATGTTGAGGTTAGGAAGTTTACATTTTTTTCGACTTTCATCCAATTGGCTTAGTTTTCTTGATTGAAGTTCTAAAATTATAGTTTAGGTATGATCTTGTAGAGAATTTTGCAGCGCATCTTTTAAAAAAGACATCGAGTCTCGGAAACAAATCCAGACCAAGTTATAAGCAAAATACTGATAGGTCCATTCTTTATGGCCCACCCGTTACATTAAAGTTCCTCGGTGATGTCATTTCTAACTCTTATCTGTGTATTGTAAGTGACGTTATTGCGCTGATAAGCACACGCAAACATAACTTCTGTTGACTTTTTACCTTTCGTTTGTATGAAGCTGCCTCTCGTGTTCGTGACTCGGATCCCAATTTCTATTTTATATAAGGATGCATCCAAGCCTGGAATCGTTTTCAACGGAACTGTTCTTCGAAATATTCGAATATTTATCTCTCATTGATCGTTTTCGAGCCTTCGCTGGCCTTAATCGTCGTCTGACTCTTATGGTCAATTTGCATCCAGTTCGAGTAAACTTGCAATCTATTTCTCGATGGGACTTCGATTTTCTTTGTCGTCATATTCGACCTGAACGAGTCATTTCACTGGTTTTTTCCGAAGAAAAGATGCCTGATCAAGTAAAACTTTTTCTCGAACATTTTCCAGACTTCGAACATCAATTCATTTGTCTTCAATCAGTGAAGTTGATCCAAACGGAAAATTGTTTATCGATATTACCACGATGTGTTTCTTGTCTAACATTTTCAAAAATGTTTTGTGGCAATGGTGTCAATGAAATGCTCATTCAACAAGCCAAGATCTTAACTCATTTGAATGTTGACAAATTGAGATTGATTCAATCAGTCAACATTGAATTTCCTCTACTGACTCATTTGACAATTGATTCATTTTGCTTTATTGATCAAGTTGATCAACTGATTCAAAATTTTAAAACTCCTCCAATCTTCAGCCTCAATGTTTCTTTTGCGGGAGATCATGATCATTTTCCATTCAAATTCGAGAAAATGTGTTGGAGTCTAATGTATCTCAAACATCTGACAATCAAACTTGTCACAGGTAGGAGAGCATAGTCTATCAAAAATATTTTGTAGTATAAGACAACTTCGGAATTTGTAAACTGGATCTTTTACGAACGTTTTTTAATCTATTGCAGAGATTAAAATGTCGTTTGATTCGCTTGAACGATGTTTGAACAATCTGCAACACTTGACACATTTAACAATCGACGCGACAGGTACACTCGATCTACTTGATGGTGCTCGATGGGAACGATTTCTGTCGAAAAGACGAATAGTCAAATTTAATTTTAAATTGAGTCTTTCACTGAATCTTGTTTGTAATCAAAATGAATATTCATTACTCGAATCATTTCGTTCACCATTTTGGCTTGAGGAAAAACGTTGGTTTGTTGCCTGTCACAAGAATGAAGGAGGTCACCTATGTCCATCAATCTATTCCGTGCCTTATTTTGTGCCTTATTCACTTCAATGTTCGACTAAAACCTATCCACCATTATCGACGGTACCGCCTGACCTCGAAAAAAAGTTTTTCTATGATAGCAAAATTGATTACTTCTGGTATTATCTTTCCGAAAGAAGAGAATTACAAAAATATCCTTTCAGCAAAGTCAACTCATTACATCTTTCTCAACATGATCCAGAATTCAACTACGACATTTTGACATCTATTGTTGATCTTAGTCACATACGAATTCTTGATCTTTCATCCGTTCATCAAATATCGTCAATCAATTTAAGTCATTTACTCGTGCATACTCGTCGCTTAGAACATCTCGTAATAAGACAATCCAATCAATTATTGATTCTACCGTCGCATATTCGTTCGCTTCATTTTAAAAGAAATTTATCGCATGATGATATCAATCTTGAAAATATCGATAAACTCAGACATGAATTATCGCATATTCGACATCTTGAAATAAAAGTACGATCGACAGCGATGATGATCGAAATTATTGATCGATTCGATCAACTCGAAAGTATCATTTTTCATTGGATTAGGTTATCGTTAACAGAGAGAATCTCTGCTCAATGGTTTCGTCAAAATACACGCCGTCTCAAGAAAAACAATTTTACTTATCGAATAGGACGTCACTTTGAACGGTTTCCATTTGGGCGACAGATTGGATGCGGTTACAGACCTCTAAAGGAGATCGTTTATTTATCTATAGCACCGAATGTCACGCAATTGTCAGAAGTGGAGGAGAATGAATCCTCTTTTCGCCAGTTTTTGGCGATTTTGTGGAGGGGAATGTCGAACAAGTTGTTCGGCACTGATCAGCAATAAAAATCATTTTTCTATTATCAGTGCCTCACACTCTTTCGTTCCCAACGGACTTGTCAACTAACGAACAAAAACTGACAACATTTTCTAAACATCTCACGTTTATCGTGGGTTGAATCACTGTTTTAATATACTATTTCAACTGGACAAATAAACAGCTATTCAAACTAGGTATCAGTCAATTGATAGTGAGAAATACGATATCCAAACAATTAATTCATTTGTGTTAAAATGCCAAAGCAGTGGATACAAGTAAAACCCATAACTTTAAGCCGTTCGGCTGTGAAGAGAAAAACGAAGAAAACATGAGCCTGTGTGACCTATTGCATGTTGTTGTTGTGTCACGAGAACTTATCCCTGATAATTAACATTAGACAAGCAATCATTTCTCTCCGTGACTAACAACAAGTATTCACTATGCACATTTTTTCTTTGTTTCTGTCAAATGTTATTGCGCAATGTCTGTGTCAACTTACCGCTATGTAAGTTGTCACAGATATTATATTTCCTGTCTGCACAGATATTATACATCCCGTCTGCAGAAAAAATAGGTGTCCTGCTCATTCCGGTCTTAGATCCAATGCTCTATCATTCGACACACTTGTTGGGCTTCCACCGGCACAAGAATGCCTGTACTCCGGGAAATACTTTCCAGAAAAGTCATTTCGCAATATTCTTAAGTCAAATATTTTTAGCGTTACTGCGGTAACGGTAAACGAATTTACCGGTTACCGCACATCCCTAGTCCAAAGTATGTCAACGAAAGCAAGAATGAAAGAGAACGGAAGATAATGAATACACTATCTCGTCAAAATTAATATGTCTTTTCAACAACTCGTTTCTATTAGTTAGTTAACATATTTTGTCGTATGCCACTTTCTACTTCGTCATATTTGCAACAATTCGATTCGACCAACTTTAAGACTCATGCCTTGCATCGTACTTACATATTTTGCCTGTCGCGATCTTCCTCAATTCAGTATGACTTCAGTTCTTCTCGGAGCAACCTATTGGATGGTGTCATTACGTATAATTCAGATGATCATATTTTCTCCCCCCATGAAGTTCGACCATTTTACTCGTTCATATTCAGATTGTTTTAGACTCTCTTTCCGGTTATTCCAAGTGATTCTAGAGAGAAGCAATGGCCTATTATCTTTGATCTCGTTTCTGGAAGTATTAAACTGGTATTAAATCATTAGATTTTTCGATGGCTTGTCAATTGTGGACCGAGTGAGAATTATGCAAGATCGATCATAAACGATTTTGCCTACATTTGGATTCTTTTTTCTACATGGCATTCTCTGTTGTGCAGAAGTATATTTGGCAGTTCGATTGCCAGCACCTTTCACTGAGTTCATGTTTTAAAGTCGAATCGATAAATGTTCGATTCATGTAAAGTTTTCCTTAGAGAGTCCAGTGCAGGATATTCGAATTTCAAATATACGGTAGACAGGGGAGGATGAGGGTAGGTGTGAGTAATCTAGAAAATCAGCTGAGTCTAGCAACCATGCTTCAGATTTCGACCTTACTTAAGGATCTCCTCAGATGAAAAAAAAGAATCATAAGCAAACCAGTGACATCTGTATTATGCTGATATATGTTTGAACTCGCCCAGAAAAGTAACACTTAAAATGTACAAATAAATTTTATTGATAAGAAAGGAATATAATCAATTGTAGAAGGAAATCGCTTATGTCTCAAGCTTCATGTAAGATATACAATTACCATGTCTTTGCAACGTTCGATTAATATTGATAAAAGAAAATGACAAGGCAATGCATTTCGCAAGTGATCAAGTTTACTTATCAGGAACATTGTGCATAATTAGAGTCAAGTTTTAAGTCAAATATTTTTACCGTTACCGCGGTAACGATAAACGGATTTACCGGTTACCGCACATCCTTACTAGTCGCTAATGAATTTTGGATTCTGATTTCTTGTTGATTTCCTATTGAATTCCTGATTCCTAGAATTCAGCTACATCTCTCCATCTCGATCGGTGAGTAGTCCATCTGAATAGAGGAACATTTTGTCCAATACTAACACTCAATGAATCTAGTAAACCTTACAGAAATATTCACTATTCGGGGTTCAACCGACAATGCCACACTTCAAACAGGAAACACGAATCCAAACGTCCGCCTATTCCCGATCACATCACAGATCCTGTCTGCAGACAAAATAGGTGTCCTGCTCATTCCGGTCTTAGACCCAATGCTCTATCATTCGACACACTTGTTGGGTTTCCGCCGGCACAAGAATGCCTATACTCCGGGAAATACTTTCCAGAAAAGTCATTTCGCAATCTGGAACATGAATCTGTCTTAATACACACTAACCGACTGTTTGCCAATAGCATTTCTATCATTGTACCATACGACTGCAAGTTTCACAGTTTCATTCACTGATCCATTTTTAACGATATACGCATACGTCGATAATTTCATTATTAGATATTTATTGCAATTCCAGCAACTCGACAATTCCACAATTCCAGCAATTTGACAATTCGATAATTCTTGCATTTCCACCATTCGACAATTCCTGCAATTCGACAACTCCAACAATTCGACAATTACAGCAATTCCACAACTCAAAAATGGACATATCCAAGTGTGATTCTATAATTTTGAAAAGATATTTTTATTTCTGTCGAATCACACCACAATATTACGATCGATTAGCCAACGCGACGGCCATCTCTCCAGAAACATGATCAATTTGAATAGTTTCTCGTTGGATTAAATTTTCTAACAATTTTTTATTTCTTTTCAATTGAAGTGCATCGATAAAATTTTGGTTATTTGAATTTCTTATTTGTAAATTACATCCCATTTTGATTAAAAATTCAACCAGACGATGTCGACAACCACGTACCTTGAGACAGACATAAAGTAACGGATCATTATCATCTTTATCGAATTGATGAACAAGTAGTGGTGCTAATTTAATTATTTTTTTCACAAATTTGCATTCTTTCTTTTGCAATAGAACAAACAATAGATCTGTACTTGCCAACCACATTCCGAATGATTTGTCATCCAGAAGTCTATGGAATAATTGTCGTCTTTTGAGATTTCCAGTCATATCACTGACCAATCTTCGATTATCCCATGAATTTTGAAATAAATGTTGACTGTGATGATAGATGAATAAGATCATTTCGAGTCGCTCGATCTTGATTAAATGAATTAGAACTTGTTGAAGTAGAAGACTATCATCATCGTCCCATTCCTCTGTTTCGGTTAGAATATTTTCATTCATCATAATTTTTAATATTTCAAGTTGGCTCGTGTGAATAAATATTTCTTGATCGGGATTTAGTTGAGCCGGCATGAGCATTTTTAATATTTTCGAAAAACTATTTATTATCCGAAAATTTTCGATGGATATATGTTTCAGACATTGTATAACAAAGAGAAGGAAATTGACCACTGCTTGATAGCATTGAATATTGATACGAGCATGTGAACTCTGAGCATAAATGTATTGTAAATGATAGATTGCATAGAATAATAAATAGTCTAGAGTAGCAGCGCCATATCCATTGTATTCTCGATTCTTTAGAAGATCCGGATTTGAAATTAAGAGGATTTTAAACATTCGAACGAGAGAATTAGAAAATCGATGAGTGACAGATTGAGTAGAGTTAATGTTCGCAAGTAATAATCGATGTACTGCTTTGGCAAAATTAAATTCCACTTGATCGCTGTCATCACACTTAAGGCGAGCACCTTTGACAAGAACAAGAAATTCAATTCGTTTGATGTTCTTGCTGAGTTGAAAATATTCGTTTAAACCCATGAAAGTTTTTTCTAATTTTTTGTCAAGATCATCGATCTCAGTATCACTGAGATGTTTACGAATAGATTGAAATTGTTCTATATTTGATTGAAGTTGATCTTTTGATCGATTGAACATTTGTTTAACATGAAATGTCACTAATGATTGAAGACATTGACGAAGTTGTTGATCATTTTTTGTTGTTTTAAGAGATGATAACTGTTGAGATACATCGTGGAACACGACAGAATTGTAATATTCGTCCACACTTGTATCGCCGATATTCATGTATAAGAAATCTGTGAATAGATGCAAATGTCGATCTACAAGAATATTGTTCAGGCGTTGATTCAAACCAGAAAATGTTCGAAATATAGTATAAACATTGCCAGAATATCGCAAAATTATCATTAAAATTTCATCGGGCAATGTTTCAAAGGTAGTCGACGACAACGACGACGCCATGTGATGATGCTTTCTCTCTGTGACTAACAACAAGTATTCACTATGCACATTTTTTCTTTGTTTTTGTCAAATGTTATTGCACAATGTCTGTGTCATGAGTATTTATTTAACGCTATGTAACTTGTCACAGATATTACTCGCTTGTCACTTTGGATAATTTTGCAATGTGTAATATAAAAATAATAAACAATCAACAGATATGAATGAAGTAAAAAAAATTAAATAAATTATGTAGATTTTACTTTTGATCTCAATCGATTGACAGCATATTGACTGTTGAATTGGTATTGAGTCGAAACTAAAGTAACCGGTTTGCTGTGAAATGGACCTTCTTCTTATGTGAAGAGGCGATTTCATTGATGGGTACTATACCATTTCAAATGAAAACAGTTCGATTAGGAAAGAAAATTCAGTATGAAACGAAACTTTAACTTTGGAGAACTAGTGTGTGTTGAAGCGCACAATTTCCTCTTGCAAATGAGACGTCGCTGCTCTCTGTATACTTTTCGATTCAAATGTTACAGCATCTTTAGCTTTATAAAATAATTTATGTCATAATTCCCTGGCATTTTTCTCGTCTTTTTCTGCTATTTTGCATTCCATCATTTGAAAAAGTCATAACATTTGAATGGAGTAGTATACGCAGAGTGGCGACGTCTCATTCGAAAGAGCAAATTGTGCGCTTCAAAACACACTAGTTCTTCAAAGTTAAAACTTAATAGAGTCCATTCTAAAACAACAATTACACAGTTTTGTTCACTTGTTAATGCTCGTTCTTATGGAATACTTGGAAGTAAAAAATAAAACAATTTTTTTTCATAAACTTTAGTTATTAATTAATTAGTCTTAATTAGTGATTGTTGATGTGGAAATTAGTGATTTTTCAGCAATGTTTCTTACTAAAACATAGCCCATTAAATTCTGCACTGAATAGTATATAAAACAGCTTTTCAGTCATCGTTGAATAGTGGAAAAGCTGGCTGAGTTCTAAAAGTGTGCTAAACTTTTTTCCTCTGAAGAAAACTTTTATGTGTAATAAAAAGTGAAATAGCTGTACGCAAAAAAGTATTCACATCTTGGTTTTGTAGGTCGGTCCGAGAGCTATCAAAATTAGTACTTCAATATTTTCATAAACTCTCCTTTCGTGAAAACCTAAAAAATAAACAGGATTCTAAACTTTTTTCCGAAAAAAATCAGCCCTATAGGTTCAATCAGCGAAGGGAATATTCAAATTTTTATCGTGAAGATATCTGTGGCGCACCTTGTATTACCATATATGAATGCATCACGATGACGCATAGCAAGAGAAAACGTCATTTTTTCTTCTCTTCTCTTTATTTGGTATGGAGAACAGTCCAAACTAAGGATGTGCGGTAACCGGTAATTACCGTCGGTAACGGTAAAAGCCTTTTTACCGCGGTAACGGTACGATCAATATACTGAAAAATTAGATTACCACGGTAACGGTAAAAACATCTTTACCGTCCTAAATTTACCGCGGTAAATCAACAAGAATTCAGAATCCAAAATTCATTAGCGCCTAGTAGGGATGTGCGGTAACCGGTAAATCCGTTTATCGTTCCTATTCAATTCCTGATTCCAAGAATTCAGCTACATCTCTCCATCTCGATCGACGAGTAGTCCATCTGAATAGAGGAACATATTGTCCAATACTAACACTCAATGAATCTAGTAAACCTTACAGAAATATTCACTATTTGGGGTTCAACCGACAATGCCACATTTCAAACAGGAAACACGAATGCAAACGTCCGCCTATTCTCGATGACATCACAGATCCTGTCTGCAGACAAAATAAGTGTCCTGCTCATTCCGGTCTTAGATCCAATGCTGTATCATTCGACACACTTGTTGGATTTCCGCCGGCACAAGAATGCCTGTACTCCGGGAAATACTTTCCAAAAAAGTCATTTCGCAATATTTTTAAGTCAAATATTTTTAGCGTTACCGCGGTAACGGTAAACGAATTTACCGGGTACCGTACATCCCTAGTCCAAAGTATGTCAGCGAAAGCAAGAATGAAAGAGAACGGAAGATAATGAATACATTATCTCGTCAAAATTAATATGTCTTTTCAACAACTCGTTTCTATTAGTTGGTTAGCACATTTTGTCGTATACTTTCTTTCTATTCGTCATATTTGCAACAATTCGATTCGACCAACTTTAAGACTCATGCCTTGCATCGTACTTACATATTTTGCCTGTCGCGATCTTCCTCAATTCAGTATGACTTCAGTTCTTCTCGGAGCAACCTATTGGATGGTGTCATTACGTATAATTCAGATGATCATATTTTCTCCCCCCATGAAGTTCGACCATTTTACTCGTTCATATTCAGATTGTTTTAGACTCTCTTTCCGGTTATTCCAAGTGATTCTAGAGAGAAGCAATGGCCTATTATCTTTGATCTCGTTTCTGGAAGTATTAAACTGGTATTAAATCATTAGATTTTTCGATGGCTTGTCAATTGTGGACCGAGTGAGAATTATGCAAGATCGATCATAAACGATTTTGCCTACATTTGGATTCTTTTTTCTACATGGCATTCTCTGTTGTGCAGAAGTATATTTGGCAGTTCGATTGCCAGCACCTTTCACTGAGTTCATGTTTTAAAGTCGAATCGATAAATGTTCGATTCATGTAAAGTTTTCCTTAGAGAGTCCAGTGCAGGATATTCGAATTTCAAATATACGGTAGACAGGGGAGGATGAGGGTAGGTGTGAGTAATCTAGAAAATCAGCTGAGTCTAGCAACCATGCTTCAGATTTCGACCTTACTTAAGGATCTCCTCAGATGAAAAAAAAGAATCATAAGCAAACCAGTGACATCTGTATTATGCTGATATATGTTTGAACTCGCCCAGAAAAGTAACACTTAAAATGTACAAATAAATTTTATTGATAAGAAAGGAATATAATCAATTGTAGAAGGAAATCGCTTATGTCTCAAGCTTCATGTAAGATATACAATTACCATGTCTTTGCAACGTTCGATTAATATTGATAAAAGAAAATGACGAGGCAATGCATTTCGCAAGTGATCAAGTTTACTTATCAGGAACATTGTGTGTAATTAGAGTCAATGGCCGATCGAGTTTTGCTTTTGTTGGTCTTTATTTTGAAGGTGAGGGTTTGCGTTTTAAAGATTGCTCTAAGCTACTTACGACAATCGTTTCGAATGGGGCTTATTCGATTCATCATCAGGTAAGTTCGGCATAGTTATCTTGTCCGAAAGAAAGAGTTATATCGCAGAAAATACCACGGCCAAAAACGGTACATTCCGTTTGTTTGTCCAACCAACTCGAAAACTATGCGATACAAAACGAACGCACCATCTGGGGTCGTAAAAACGTAGTTTGACTTTTTTTAGGTGCATTAGAACTGCCAATCGAAGATCTACAAAACTACACAAGGGCGAAATTTCTGGCTCTAGTAGCTCAGGAAATATAAGCATTTTACTAAAGACTTTTCGGTGATTTTCGACAATTTTCCGGAAAATACAGATGTTCTGTTTTTCACTTTCTGATGTTTAGAAACCTATTTTTCCGCTATGCAGACTATACCGCTCAATAAGACAGGCATTCCGGGCACCATTGGCAAGTAACTAGGAAGCGACTCGGTTTTGTTATCAGCAAAGAAATGTGAAAATGATGCAGTCGACGATGATGTTCACTGCCATCGATAATCTCGGTATCACTACTAATTCATTTAGCAAGAGACATGTGCACTAATTTACTTAGTAATTGCAGTCTTCCCGGAAAAATCATGACACTCTGCCAGCTGGTTTGATGTATACAGCATCATCTAAATTATAAATTACGTGGAGATCAAAGTTTTATACTGCGAGTGGCTGGCGAGTCCTCTGTGACCGGACATGATTTTACTTTTGCTCTGTGTTGTTTCTAATCAGCCATGCCATGTAATCACGCTGAAAAATCTCTGGTTTCGCGGAAAAAAGCAATGAAACTGATGTAGAAAGAGAATGCACCACTGAGCACTATTTATTAAATAGTCATGCGCTAGTAGACAGAAAAATCTATTGGCTTTTCTGTTCTTGCTGTTTTTCCAATGATTGCTTTTGCCGTTTCCAGAGCCACTGCAAGATGTTTAATGCCAAAATGATCAGTGCGACGCCCGCGGCCGATATTTTCACTAGTCCGAAGTAGCAAGCCAAACTCATAACGAAATCACTTCGTGCCGGAAAAATTTCCAAGACATATTTTTCCGCAATATTTTCCAGATAATCAAAGACCATGTATATGAATGGAGCAATTACATGATAATGTCCTTTTCCTAAAGCTATGTTTGACAAACTCACTGATAAAAAGATTAAAAATGGGAAAACAAACTCCCTATAATTGACTAAGCGATACGCATTACGTCCATCTTCGCCGAGGTTTGATAGAACTTGGTATCCTTCATCAGAAGTGTAGTAATTCATAGTATCGAGGATCATCGGTGCTGTGGCTAACGAGGCTGAAGTAGCATAATCTTTCAGTGGTTTTACGACAAAATAGAAATTAACGATCGTTAAAGGCCACGAGAGTAGAATAGTGTAGATATTAGCGAGCGGTTTCAATAATTTGTAAAGTTGTTCCATGATAATCGCAAAAAATAATGTCTAACGAGCTTGTATACAGCTACTGGTGCGCGTGTTTTAAGATGACCACCTTTTTTCGCTCACATAGACGACGACGTTTATTGCATTTTTATTTTTTGTGTTCTGTCCTCTAGGTAAAGACGCCACGTTGCAATGTTTTTTTTCCTTCGCTAATCAATTTTTTGCGAAAGAACATGAATATTATGGCGAAGCCTGAATAAACGCACTCGTTCTTTGAAGGAGAAAGTTGAAGAAAAAACTTTATTAAGAAAATTAATTATTTTCATTTTTAATTGATATACGTACGAATTGGTGAAAAATAAGAATTGTCATCGATTCGATATGTAAGATTCCTTTCAGTCCTATGATGAATATTCAGCTGAAACCATTCAATAGAAATAAATGAACACATATCACGGAACGGTTGTGGAAAAATAGTATCCAGAAAGATTCAATCTGTCATAAAGTTTATTTCTTTCTCACTCATGTGCACGCACAGCAAGGAGAGACGCTAAATGATAACCGATGAAGATGAAGCGATGTGATAAAAAGTGGGAAAAGGAAGGGCATGCAACTAGAAGTCTATTCAAAAAAATTGATGACTATGAGCACTGATTTTTTCGTCAGGTTATTGTGCAGTGTAGTTCTGCATAAAAAATTCTCTTGTGGGTGTATGTATACATATGCACTTATTTTATCTACGTATAAAGAAGGTTTCTATTTATTGTTTGATAACAGTCACATTTTTATTTTAATACGTCGAATAATAAATTTTTATTATGTCAAAAGGTAAAAAGTGATCTTTTTCTTCACGTTTTTGTTCTTGACATGTCTAAAAAAGGGTCTAAAAAACATGTCCTTGACGAGTATCCGGAAAAACATAATACACGCTATTTCGATATTAAAAACGAACCAATTACTCTCACATCACCAGTTGAAGGTTATCAACATCTTCCATTACAATCTCTCGAAATTGCTTGTCAATCTATTGAACATTTGATTCCTGACATTCAACGTCGGGTATGGATTGCAAAAGAAAATTGCTGTGACAGAGAGACTTCTTCTGATCTTAGCCAAGATGAACAGGGAGCAATTCGGTTGTACACTATGGAATGGGAGCCTAATGATCAATGCTTATATGCCCTACTCAATAACACATTGCGAATAGAAGATCGACAAAAACTGAAACCATGGTTTTCTTATCTAAAACTGATTCTGACGGCACTCTTCAAGTTACCTTCAGTTCATGCAACTGTATGGCGTGGAGTCAAGGCGGATTTAAGTAATGAATACGTGAAAGATCATATTTACACATGGTATGGTTTCAGTTCTACAACAGAATCATTAAGTGTGTTAGAATCAGAACAATTTCTCGGTAAATCAGGTATTCGTACATTATTCAGTATTGAATGTAAGAACGGTAAAATAATCAAACCCTATTCTCATTTCAAGGCCGAAGATGAGATTCTTCTTTTACCTGCTACCCAGTTTCAAGTAATTAGTAAAACTGGCTTGGGTAATGATTTAAACATTATACATCTCAAAGAGGTGAAACCAAAGTATTCATTACTGGAATCACCATTTGATAAGCTAAGAGACTCAAAAGCTAAGGGAGGCAAAACTGAACAAAAACAAAAGTCACTTAGGACAATATCTGATGTGATAAACAATGAAAGTCAGTCCTATCAAAATAACCAGCTAAAAGAATATCTAATTGAAAATAGAACTAACACGCGAATTAATTTGAGCGGTAAACAACTAACCGACAATGATATGAAAATTGTTGCAAATGAACTTCAACAGAACGAAGCTTGTATTCAATTGAATTTGAATAAAAATAACAGTAAAATAACAATAATTGGTCTACAATATTTGTTTGATACTTTAAAATCCAATACAGTTTTGCAAGAACTTTGGCTTGCTCACAATAATTTGTCGGATCAAGGTGCAAAGAGTATTGCTCAACTGTTAAGCAAACCCAATTGTGCTATCACAGTACTTGATTTTAGTGGAAATCTTGTGACCGATGAAGGTGTCAAAAGCTTATCGGGAATGTTGAGAATGAATCAAACACTCATATCTTTGCATCTGGATGACAATAAAATAACTGATAGAGGAATGAAATTATTAACAAATGCTCTGAAAACAAATTCTACTAGTCGTTTAGAACTTTTATGGTTACAAAGAAATGAAATATCAGACAACAGCATTGATTCAATCATCGAAGTGATGGGGAAGAATGGCACCAATAATTCGTTGTGGAGTCTAAATCTCTCTGGAAATCCAATATCATCAAATGCACAACGAAAAATTCAACAACAAACAAGAACGAAGGGAAATATCACATTTTAGAAAAAACTCTGTTTTTCTCTATTCTTCTGCTCGATTGAAATAGTCTTGATCCATTTTTATCTTAGGAAGAAAAGGCTGAAGATTCGATCTTTCGTTTCTCGCCTGTTTATCACATAATAAATAATTTGTTTCGCGGCTGAGCTCTTTTCCTCGCTTAATATTTTGCTTATATCGCAATTCGATTCCATTCTGTAGACTTAATTTTTTCATAGTAGAATGCTATACAAAAACTTTTAATAAAATCTTGTTTAAACATTCACCAGGAATCGATATGAACTTTATTTTCTATAATCCATCCTGTAATAACATTATTTGAAATGCTGTTGCAGTTTCATTCAGCCGAAGCATCAAATAGATACGAGAAGTTCGCCGACAATATCCGCAAAATGATGAGCATTATTCATTAGAGTCAGTCTATTTGTTTAGAGATGTTCATATTTCTTCTATAACGGTCACAAATTTTTCTTAATGCATCACTCGCTGATCCCAGTGAAAATCTGAAATCTATCAAATATCTATATCACTTTGCTCTGAAAAACGAACAACTAGCTACACCTCTATCTAGAAATATCTTATGTACTATCTATCTACTGTTTGGCAAATCGCGTATATTTTTAAGCATCTGTCTAACTTTATGATCTAAATCATACGTTTTATTAATCAATACTAGGATATGACTCATTAATACACGATATTCAAATGAAATAAGCAACATCAGAAACTCGAAGAAAGAGAATGATCATCCTGTATAAAATTATTTAAATCTTTTTTCAAGTATATACAAACTCAGTATACGCAAAGTTACAATACAGCAGAGGCATCAGATTAGCAACTTTTACACCTAATTATCACACATTAATTGAACATCGCCTTTGTATGACGATAAGTACTGATCAAGAATTATAAGAGTTTGGATGGAGGTTCCAAAAACATGCATCAGATAATGGCACCCCCATATCTCGAAAGCGACGAGAAAAATGCACTTTGATAAAATTTCTCCTTCTTCTATTTAAATACAGGTGAATAATCGATGAATGAATTGAGAGTCTTCATCTTTTACTTTTACACTGGCTTATTTAAACCGTGGGTAGTCAGAAAGGGAAAAGGTGTTGTCTTATTTACTAGAAGTGTTTAAAAGTAATGTAAGAAGATATCGTTTTCTAAATATTTGGTTTCATTTTGAAAAAAACGAGGTGAGAAGCAGAAAATAATATATCAGGAAGAAAGCTCGACGAAAAACACCAGGCATGTAGCGTGTGTATAATTATTCAAAAGATGAGAAAACCTCTTATCATGCGCCTTTCTCACGTCATTTTAGCTTGTTCTATACGCTTGATAAGACGTACGTAGTATCATACGTTTTTCGTACAGTACAATTTTTGATTATGGATGATAATAACTGTTAACAAGAAGACATACATGTGTATGTATGTCTTGTTAGCGTATGTATATGCTGATATCATGGTAGCATTAAAGTTAGAGAAAGGTAAAATTGGTTATCGCTCAGCAAAGTTTACTTTTTGGTCAAAAAGTAATATTATCAATTTTGTTAAAATGTCATATCAAAAAGTAAATGTTGTGCTAATCAAGAAAATATTTAAGTTAATTGTAACTTACCCTGATTGTATATTTACGTGTTTTACTGCTAGTAATAAGATATCTTTTTTTATAGTGGATACGGGTAGAACGGAACATATGGCATTTGTACAACATGAAGGCAATTGTGTACTCGGTTTTTCTGTTAGAAATGTGACAAACGGAGGAGTAATTGAATTGGTTTTGTGTTGGTAGTAAGAATGAATTGTTTTGGGAAAAGAAAAAGATAAGACAGTTATTTTACTAGAAGTTTGTCAAGGCTTACATAACATAAGAGCGAAAAAACAAAAAAAAATCTCTGTAAGAAGAAAAAATGGTGAAGATTACATCAAACGAAGGAGCAGCCATGATTACGCCGTAGCCGTAGGTAGTCATGTAAAGAAAAGTTTGAGCTAGAGCACCAATTTGACGTTTGTTTTATTCCAGGAAGTTCAAAGTACCTTTAGTTTTCATTATATCTCATTTACTCTTTAACTAAAGCATACTTTTACTAATATAATGTGGCCTCTGTAGCAGGTCGATTTACTTTTTGATATGACATTTTAACAAAATTGATAATATTACTTTTTGACCAAAAAGTAAACTTTGCTGAGCGATAACCAATTTTACCTTTCTCTAACTTTAATGCTACCATGATATCAGCAT